GAAAAAAAGATAAAAAAAATAAAATAAATGTATTAACTTAATTAACCATTATAAAAATTATATAAAAATGGGGTATTACAACTATCATTACTACAAGCTTTTAACAAATATATTATAACTATATTAAGAACTTCAATTAAACTTTCAATTTAACTTTTAACAAGTCGATGAGGTAAGAAAGCCAAGTTTCAATGTAGTTAAGTAACCTGCACCAACTTAAAAGCAAGTAAGTGACAGAAAAGTAGCAAATAAGTCTATCCAAGTAATTAACTGCTCTATACTTCAGTTTATTCACAAAATGAGAAATGTTAATTTACTATTTCATTAGCCTCCTCTCCATAATCTTCCCATCACCCTTCTGTCAATACCTTTCCATATTAGGAATTAAAAACTGGTTGGTGGTTAAGATCATATTAAAAGAAAATTCAACAATGTCATAGAGCAATAAAGAATATTACTTCTCACATTTAGGAATCCCCTGGGCCTGGTGATCTTGTTAAAATGTGGCTCACTAGATCTGAGGTGGGATTTGCATTCCTAACAAGTTTTCTGGAAATGTTTGTGCTCTTGGTCCACAAACCTCATTTTGAGAAGAAAGGCTATAGAGTTTATCCCTCTACTCCACACCCATATACCACTACAGTTCATTTTGTTATGTATGTATAAAAGCATATATACATGTGTGTTTAAGAGACAGAGTCTATGTTATTCAGGCAGACTCCAACTCCTGGGCTCAAGATGATCTTCCTGCCTCAACTTCCCACATAGCTGGAACTATAGGAATACACCTCTTCATTTTGAAAGAAGAAAAAGGAATTACATTTCTCTGGGCAATTGAGAAGTGCTGTTTTCCTATGTTTATATAATATAAAGTTAAACAAATTTTGATAAGAAAGATTATCCACTTTTAAACAAAAATATGAAAAATTAAAGAAAATTTTAAAATAAAGCATTCCAATAACTCAAGATTATACCAAATTAAGGATACAAAGTAAAAGTTTTCCTGATTTCATTTTTCTGTGGAAAAAGTTCTAAAATCCTTCAGATCCATCAAAATCAGCCCCTCTCTACCTTCTGTCTCAAACTCCCATGTCACTCATGCTCCCTCTTCTCCAGCCATGTTTTACTCCTTGACAATCTACTATTTTAGTAATGCATCCATCTCCGAAGTCCTTGCTCTTGTAGTTCTCTACCTTAGGCTGGCAAGTCCTACTTAATCTTCAAGGACCTCAAAAATATCACCTTAATCTGAAAAGCCTTTCCTGGTGCCAGTGGGCAAAAGTAATCTCTTTCTTGTGCCTTCATTATATCACTTGTGTATTCTCACTTACTATACTACTCATTGCATGGTTCCAGAGGGTACACTTCCAGCAAGTTCCAGTGGTACAGTATCACACCCATTTCTCTGCCAGCCAATGGCCATGCCTTCCCCCAACAAGTTCATTTCTTGGCTGCAAGGCTGCAAACCACTTAATATTTATATGCTTGTATAATCCCTTCATTTGTGTGATAGGTCACTTCTGAGATTATAAAATAGATAGCAGCTTCCATCTTGTTCTTGTATACCTTGAAGGAAGCCAGTCCCTATGTCCTGAAACAGCCCTACTGCAAGGCTTATGTGTGGTAAGAAACTGAAGCCTCCAAATAATAACTAAAGCGCCCTGCCAACAATTATTATGTGAACAAACCTGGAAGCAGATTCTCTTAGCCCCACTTAAGCTTTAAAATGACTGCAGCTTCCTCAACAAGTTACAATGACTTAGTTAAGTGGAAACCGTATTCCTGACTCTCATACATTAAATATTTACAAAGTGGCTAAATTTGGGGGTAATTTTATACACAGTATAGCACCCCCTGTGTTATTAGCACAGGTACCTTTTCTTTGTACACTCTCTCGGTCCTATGGATGAGGCTGCTCCTTATTTCCACTATTCCTATATTCTCTAGAACTCTCATTTATAATGAGAAAAATCAAACTTTGGGTGGTTTCTATCCTGATTGAACCCTGACAATATGCCAGATAAAGCTGATTCTACTGGTCAAAGAACTACTAGCTTAAATTAGCTAAGGATTCAGCTCCTGGAACTGAAGTCAATTCCCTTGAAGTCCATGGCCACAGTAAATTCCAGTAAAAGTTAGGGAGGAAATGACTGTAAAGTATTGAGAGTATTTGCTATAGAAATCTCCCATTGTTTAAAACCTGCTATTATCTTGATTCACTGTTTTTCATATTTTGGCCAATACTGTAAAAAGTGCTATAAAAGCCTACTTATGGAAATAATCAAAGAAGCAGGTTTGAGTGGCTTAACAACTATACCACATACATATGCAGTTAATCTAAAATGAGAATGTGTAAATGATTAAAGAATACTAATAATAAAATAATTGTGTTGGTAGATTTTATGTAATCTTTACTCATAGCACACATTGTCAAGAGAAACTTATGCAATGCTTAACTTACAAATTAACAAATTACTCCCTGCCTTTAGTTTCCTAGGGGTGTCACAAAGTACCACAAAACTGGGTGGCTTAAAACAGAAATTGATCGTCTCTGTTCTCAAAGCTCTAAGTTCAAAAACATCCTTCTCACCTCTAGCTTCTGGTGTGGTTGGCAATCCTTGGTACTCCTTGTGTGGGAGATGCATCATTCCACCTCCATTGTCACGCAGTCATTTTCTCTCTCCCTGTGTGTCTATAACTTCTCTTCTTAAAAGATTCCAGTCATTTTGGATTAAAAACCTACCCTATTCTAATATGACCTCATCTTAACTAATTGTATGTGCCATGACCTTATTTCCAAATAAAATCACATTTTGAGGTTCCAGTGGTTAGAAATTCAGTCACAATCTTTGTGGGTGAAACAATTCATTTTCAGGAAATCTCATGTCTATCAAAACAAATGCATAGTTTTATGTCTTCTATCTTAATTGCCTCTTAACATGTCTTAAGAATACAAATATAATAAATTTATCCATGATAAAGTGTCTATACAAAAGACAGTGGAGCTTAATTCATATTCATTTTATCTTATGACTTTCCCATAACCAAAAACCAATCTTTCTACCTTTAACCCCCTTTCTGTCTCCCTTCAATGTTCTCTCATTTTCACATTCAAGAACACATTTTCCATTTCCCCTTAAGTATATAATCACAACCACTGGCATAGGTCTCCAAGACAATTTATTACTATTTTAATTGCATAGACAATTGGTCACAAGACACATTCATTATTTGTGGATTTTTAAACAAACTGATTTCGTGTAAAGCAGAGATCAAAATCACAGTTATTGAAATATAAATTGTAAAAATAAAAATTTGTAATTTTGGTACTGTAAGTTGTCCCAGTATTTATCTTATTTATTGTGAGGTTGAAAATGATGCTCACCTGCCCCTATCAAAAAGCTGTCAAGAGTTCACTTCATTTTTCACTAAACCTCGAAGTATTGAAAGAGCAACTAATTATAAATGATTTAAAAAAGTGTTTGCTAGAGATATTTGTTGTAAAAAAAATTGAACACTAAGTCACAAATATAACAGACATATGAAAAAGAGAGGAAACAGAGAAAAACAATATTGATATATGAGTTCTAAAGCATAGCATTTAAATTGCTAAGAAACAGTTAACATTTATTCAGAGCCTACTAGGTAGCAGATCAGGCATTCTGCTGGGCAATTTATATTCTTTAATTCATCACTAACATCCCTGAGTTAGGAATGATTATCCAACTTTTAATCACAAGTAAGACAAAAGGCTTAGAGAAGTCATTAGATTTCATATTCAGACCAATGGCTCTTTCAAATTTACCTTCCTAGTTTTGGCCAACTTCTCCCTTTTCAAAAATAAAATGCATGAGGAGCCAGGGAAGTGAAAGGAGCCTTGCAATACATAGAGAAAAAGACAACCTGGTAAATGTGTGGTTTTACCAAACATGAACAAATTGTATTCACATTCCAGAGAAAAGTGGCAGAATATGTCCCAGTAAAACACATCATTTTGGCAAAAGGATTATTTTGAGCTAAAAGCACTTGAGAAACAGCAGGTAGGTGTTCAAAACCTCCCCTTTTCCTCCTGAAAGTAGGAGATAAAACTTCCATGGAAAAGATGCCTGCCCCAATACCAGGAGAAACTTTCTTATCACAAGGGACAGGGTGTGGAAGACAGAAGAATTTTATATTTATTAAAATAATCACATTCCTTTATTCTCCGTATAAACAGTATTTTAGTTCCCTTCCAATAATTGTCTCTTGTTGTTTGGCCTAATATAAATGCATTTGGTTTTGCCACTTTCGTCTTCATTTCCTTATGAGGCTCCTATGTCAATAAAACATGAAATAAATTTATGTGCTTTCTGTTAATTTGTTTATGTTAATTTCATTCTCTGGCCCAGCGAGGACCTTACAGAGTAAAGTTTCTCTTCTTAATCCCGTCTTCAATTGCTGGGCACGCAGGAAAAAAAAAAAAAAAAGACAAGACTTGATTTTATGAACAATGCTTTTTTGCTACTATTCGTCAGAGATAAGGTCCAAGGGTGGGGAACCAACCAAGTATGACATCCACACACAATCAGGCTAGGGAGAAATGCAAATAGGTTTTTGACGTTAAATTCATCAGTTTTAGAGAAGGAAGCCAGGAGGCAGGCCTCCTTCGGTACATAAATCTGCATACCCAATCGCCACTAGTACCCTAATATCACTTTTAGGCGCCAGGAAACAAAGCGCTCCATCAGAGTTTTAAAGACCGGAGAGCCCAGGAGGCGTATATTGCCGTTGAAGTGGCCACTGCAATAAAAGCTCACAGCCCCTAGGCCATTCTCGCTCCGCAGGCTGGCGCCGGCGGACGACAAATTCACACCGCACTGTGCCTAGCCCTGGACTGCCAGCAGCGACGCGCGCGAGTGACGTCAACGCGCCGCCGGCCGCGAAGGGTGGACGCTACCACCGCTGGCGCCCCCCCACCCCACCCCCGCCGGGCCTTTCCCGAGGCAGGGCCGCCGACTCACCTTGCCGTCGTGGTGGAAAGGAAGGCCGAGCTCATCTGTGGTGGATTGGGTGCGAACACAGCCCGACTCTTCTGAGGTTCCGGTAGTGAGCCCCGCGGCGGCGAGGGCGGCCTCGTAGTCCGGGAAGGGATTGGTGAACGCGCGCTCCTCCATCTCCGCCTCCCCTCCCAGATGCAATTTCAACCTCTTTGACATGGTCTCGCCCATCTCCGCCGCGCGCCCTCTCCCCACCCTAGGTGCCGCGCGGCACGGCGCGCGAGCGGGGACAAACCTCCTGCCGGGGCGTTCCGGCTGGAGCAGCGCTGTCTCGCGCGCCAGTCACCTACCGAAGATCCCGCAGCCGGAGCCAAGGGCTTCCTTTAGAAAGAGCGAAACTGTGAGCTGGCGGGATGAGCGGAGTCTTGGAACCCGCTATAGCCTCGCCTGGTGGCCTTCTTCACCGCGGGGTGCCTGTACATCTGGATGCAGCCGGTGAGCTGCACGTGGTGCCTCCGCCCCGCGCGGCTGCTGTTCGCTGCGGCGGGAAAAGTGGGCTCGGCGGGACCTCCGTAGCCCTCGGCGGTTCGGAATACGCTCACGCCATCCGCCGGCCCTGGTCTTGCTGGGACCGGGATAGTAGCCCGCAGAGCCTGTCCGCGGGTACGCGCAGGCTGGGCCGGAGCCCCCGGGTCTGGAACCGCTCCAGTAATGCCGCGCCCCGGTCCTCTCCGGTGGCCGATTTTCTAGAGAAAACCGAATGAACCGCGAGAGGCACGTTCCCGCAGGGAAAACCTGTAGAGGATTTGCTGTCATTCAAGGAGTGTGCTGTTCGCAGAAAAGGAAAAGCGCATCCCCCGACGCTCCATCATCAATCTGCATTTTCCCCAGCCCGGCGATGCCGCCCATGTCCTCAGCCCCAGGTGGTGCGCCAGCCACAGGAATAGCAAACAGCAGCTTTGTTTGATATTTTTAAAGAGAGAGAGAGAAAAAAAAAAATCTCCTCTAAAGAAAAGAATTTCAAAACAGACTATCTGCAAGGATAGTCTCCAGGGGCGAGGAATACAGTCCCTCCTATTCATCACTGTTGGGAGGGGGGGTTGTCTTGGAGGAGGAGCCACAGGCTTTATTTATTTATTTTTAATCTTGTGTTTTATTTTCAGTTTCTTTGTTTTGGAAAAAAAATGGACATCTTTGGTAACAAGAGATAATGTGAAAGCATATTTAATCATCGAAATATTTTATTGACCAGAGAGACCCCTTCGATATTACTATAAATGCCCTGGAGCACAATAAGTATCATTAAAAAAAGGACACAAGCAAATAGAACTTTGCATTTATATAATTATAATATATTAACTTCAGTCTTTTATTGATTCTCTTTTATTCTTCATGCTATTTATTTAGAACCAAATCAACATGATTTGTCCTCCTTAAGAGAAAAGTCTTATTTTAGTGTTCTTCCAATTAGCAAATATTGGTGCTAGGCCATGAGGACATAAGAGATTAAAAAGTTTCTGAGAATGTCTAGCTAGTGGATGAGAAATGCAAAAATCACAGCACAGCATAATGGGTACATTTTTCTGAAATTATGTACATGGTGACATGATAGAGAATACCTTACCAATCACTGCTGCCTCTGTGGCTTTAGAGTGGGCTGTTGTGAGTAAAGACCTGGCTTCCCACTCTTGCCCAACCCCATAAGGCTGTGGATGTGAAACACATCCTCATATGGGAGACTTAGAAACCAGAAGCTCTGATAACATCTATCCCCACACCAGTTACCCACCTGGGCAGGTCTCTGGGACAACTCCTGCTGTCCTTTTTAACCCTGCCTGGAGAATACCAAAAGAGCAGTGTGCTCTCAGGACAGGTTTATCTTAAAGTGTTTCAGAATATAAGAGATATTAAGGCTTATTCAGATAGGAAATCTGAGGTACAGGAGGAATCTCTGTGGCTGAGTTTCAGCCATGTCTGAAAAGATCTGGGGACTTGCAGGTTGCTACAACCCCAGTCTATTTGCAGTTTGTCTTCCCTCTGTGAGATCAAGACAACCCTCTGGTCCAGGAGCAAAGCCCCATTTGTTTGCACAGGTACCCCCCATTTGTTTGCATAGGTACCGTGCAACAATGTGGGGCTGAGTTAGAACAATGTGAAATCTGTACAGCATAGTTTAAAATTTTGTATTTTTCTTCTGCCTCAATATCCCGCCCCCACACCAAAAAAAAAAATAAAAAATAAAAATTCCCACAAACAAGCTGTAAACCCCCTGACCAGTGGACCAGGTACACCCATGACAAAGCTGCTCTTGTCACAAATTCTTCTTGTCCTTCTTTGTCTGTGACCTAGTGGCAAAGATACTTTGCTTGGTCAAACATTGGCCAGGTTCCTGAACTTTTTCCTATGTTAGTTTGTGCACTTCCTTATGAAGTCCACTTTCTGCAAAGTCAGTTTATCAAGAACCCCCTACCCTCACTATGTGATCACCCTTGATTGCTGATCAGCAATCCACTATGCCCCAGGTAATAGCTGATAACCAGGGCTTGCCTTCAGCATCCCATTAGACGTGTTTTGTGTTGCTGACCGAACAAGAACAAATTAGAAGTAAAAAAAAAAAAAAAAGTTTATTTGGGCTGACCATTTCAGAGGTCCATAGATGGCCAACTCCATTGGCCCAACATGAGGCAGAACATGAAAGCAGAAGGGCCATGGCAAGACAAGTTGCTCACCTCATGGCAGGCAGGAAACAGAGGAGAGAGGTGGGAAAAGAAGCCACAGAAAAGATGGAATTCATCCAGGGCATATCCCCAGTGTCCCACCTCCTCTAGGCATGCCCCACCTGCCTACAGTTAACACCCAATCAGTTCATTCAAACTAGAATGTGCAGATTAGATTACAACTTTCACAATTGGATCATTTCACCTCTGAACAGCCCTTTGTTAACAGGGTCTTTGCTTCACACCTCATACCCAAACCATGGCAGTCAGTTTTTCCTCTTTACCACCTGATGGTTCCTCTAAGTAATTTTCCCCCACCTTATTACTTGACTATACATCTCCACTTGCTCTTGCAATGTTCAGAATTGAGTCGTCCAGTCTCTCTCCAATGGATGGGCAGAGGACAAGATAGAATGATGGCAGAAAAGACAGATCATGCCATAAACTCCCACTAGGCCCCTCCTCAAAAATTTCCAAGTTCTTTTGTGCCTAGGTTTGGCCAAGGTTGGCATGCCATTTAGGTGGGGATGCCCCAAGATCTGATGGGACATCCAAGGACTTGTTCTCATTTCTTGCCTTCAGAAAATTCTCCATCTTCTTACTGTGCCACCCACCCCTGAAGATGCCACAATTGCTTCAAGGTTTGTTTTCCTGGGGCTTCTAGGGCTGAAACCTGTGGAATTTTCCAGGACAGTGACCTCAAGAAAGAATTGGCCGCAACAAGGGCACTGTCACACTAATTCATGATGATTCATATTGTTTATATAAATATTTGCTCTGCAAAATATATTTATCTATGCTCTACATATCCTAAGGTGTGAGTGCCTTTTTCCAACTTCAGAAATAATAGTACCGGTAAAGGAAGATTACCATGTTCACGCTGGTTGCTGTGTCACAGTCAAAATCCTGTTGGATTAAACCCCTCAGAACAAATATCACTTCTTCCACCACAATGCCCAACCTTAGGAACACAACAAGGTACTTGCTAAATGCTGGTTGGATTAGACCCAAACTGTGATGAGGAAATTTTCTCTGAAGGAAAATTGGCAGGTAGATGGCAGCAGCTGCTATTAAAATCAGACTAATTTAATTCTCTTTAGCAAGTAAAATGTTTGCTTCCTTGCTTATTTGTTTATATTAATTTATTTTCCTGATTATACATGCTTAGAGGTTTATAGAGAAAAATTTGGAAGAGAACAGAGAAGAAAATGAAAGACTATCCATAATCCTAACAAGGAGACACAGCCTCTTGTTAACACTTGATGTTCAGATGGTTCCAGTTGGAGTTCCATAAGCAAAATCCTTAATGTGTTGTCTATTCTAATGAGTGTTAATATTATATTCCTGTGAGAAGTTAAATTTTTGAATACTAATCCCTCATATACACAGTTTTAGATCTTTTACCTCTCCCTCTGTCAGGGAAACAATTAGCCAGGGTAGGGGTGACTCATAAGATTATAATTTCTTCTAATCTTGTATTATTTCCCATGCAATATGAATATCATGAACATTCTAACTGCCTGGGCAGAAAGTCTCTCTTTATAGTCTTTTATTATTATTTTTTGTAGACCTTATCCAGATTCAGTTCTTAAAAAGAACTGAGAACTTACTAAGGTTCAATTCATCTCTAATGGGCTCTGTGAAATTTGGGATTTGCCCTTTCCCCAGAACCAGTTTTGTTTTTAATGAAAACAAAAAAAAGACAGTGAGATAATATGACTCAGCTAAATTAATAAAGTAGCATGCAACAGGAAAATTATAGTTTGAACCGTCCCGGAACCGCCCTGGCTCAGGGCTGCGGAGCCCGCGGAGGCTGCTTCTTGGACCCTGCTACTATCAGAGCATACACCAAACACTAAGCGGCCGAATTCCGGCTCCCGGAACTGAGCCCGCGGGGGCTGCTTCTTGGAGCCTACACTTATAGGAGCTTACACCGAGCACGGAGCGGCCGAGTTCCGGCTCCCGGAACTTCCCTGGACCGGGGCTAGGAGCCCGCGGAAACTGTGTCTCGGTCCGGGTCCTGCTGAGGGCAGGTCAGGACTCACCCATTGCTTGGGTTGCCTGGCAAGGGGAACGAAATGCTGCCATTCGCATAGGATACCAACATGGCAGAGATCTGATGTCAGCAGAAAGCGGTGGAGGAGAGATCTTCATCAATACCAGCGGTGACATAAGCAGTTGGTCTCCTGGTAAGGGGGGTGAGGCTCAGTCACCCGAGCCTCCTCAATTTGTCCTCGAGCCAGAGGGAAGGAGCCGGGCCGCCGCCAGCCCCCGGAGCAGGCCCAGCGGCTCGCCAGCGTGGTGACCGCGTGACCCCAATTGGAGAGGGGGCGGAGCGGAGCCGCCACCCACACCCGCCAGGTGGGCAGACCCACGACCCAGTAGTACATGGGCGTGGTAGGAGGGGCAGGGCAGAGCCGCCCTTCGCGCTTGCAAGGTAAACAGACCTGTGACAGCCTGGCAGGTCAGGCCCAGTGGCCTGCCAGTGTGGTACACACGTCACCCCAACTCGAG